AGTGCTTATTTCATCAAACCCAGCGGGCTCCATATTCAACGTTTCCGCATCCCTTTCTGACTGTCTTGTTTCCTCTTTTTCAGTAACAGGTTCGTCTTCTGAATCATCCATTTTCTGAAGAAGAAAATGTCGCCATTATGATTATTACTTACTTGTATTGAATAATATGATTGGAATGGAGAAATAGCTGCTCGGCTAATATCCTTGAGACTTCAACGACGGTGCGTCCCTAAGTAGGAAGCCTCACGGAAGTCTCACAAATGGCATATGGCTTTCTCAAGTGACGCTGATATCATATGAACACCGATGACCGAGATATGTTTGATGTGGCAAATTGCTCACTAATGGCACACTATCAACAAACTTGAAGCTTCAAGTCAGATAAGTATAACAATCCAATGTTGTATTACAACGGAGATTTTCCCGCAAATGAAAACCAGTTAACCCGCGCCATGCTGGTGGCCTGAGTTTTCCGTGTCGTGCTGGGGAAGGGGGGGGGGGGGCTTTTCACGCCCCCCGTCTTACTCGGCTCCTTACCACGTAGCGACACGCGGTAAGCGGCAATCGAATGAGCGTCAAAAATAATGGCGGAAATACTACAGTCATTTTTAAGGTCAGGTCAAAGGTCAAGTCACCAGAGGTCATCAAAGCTCAAATTTTGTCTATTTCAATAATTTTCGAAACACCCGACGGCTAACTCGGAAACCGCTAGAGCTACAGCGCCGCGGAAAAGCGCATTCAATAGCTCTTTCAACGCTCTTTCGCTGAGGTGCCATCAGATTTGACCTCAGGTCAACGGTTTAGCCTCCAGAGGGCAAAAACTCTAAAAATAGCCGTTTTCACACAAAAAAAATGTAATACCTTTTGACTCAAGAGCGACACGACATTACTTTTGCAAGCATCGTGTTCCTCTCGTCGAGACGCTTCGAACGAACTATAAGTTGACCTTGAAAGGTCATTTTGAAAAAAAAATTGACCTCAGGTCAAGGTCATGGCCAGACTGGAAAGGGTCATATTGCATACCGGTCGATCCGTACCATCGAGCTGGACACATCTGACGTGTTTTCACCGCTCTAGCACGTCTCTATCAAAAGCTATAGTAAAAAACTGCTGGTGACCTTTCATGACCTGAGGTGACCTCAGGGGTACACAGAGGGGTCACAGGTGCAATTTTCCGATTCAGTGTGTCATGTTTACTTATGAACCGATGTTTAAGAAGGTTTAGAACGATTCGTCCAAAAGAGGCGCATTTCAATTTTCTCCCATTGACTTAGAATGCAGAGGTCGCAAGATTGACCTGACCTTAGGTCACAGATATAAAAAATCCAAGATAAATATTATATACGTACTGTTACTCTTATCAAACGCTGAAAGATTCAGAGTGTTCGTTCTGTCGGTTAACCCGCGCACCGACGGGGGTCTGCGCCAACTTCGCACCGACGGGGGGGGGGCGGATGACCGCCCCCCCCTGAGATCTCGAGAACGAAGCAAGATAGCGACAAGCGGTAAACGGCATCGGATACGCACGGGCATGGTCTACAATTTTTACTAAGGTCATTTTCAGGTCACGTCAAAGATGACGTCACAGGGGTCGAAAAAGTCAAAATGGCGGCGCTAGATATGGAGAGAGTTTTTCTCTAATAACTTTCGAATTAGTCAAGATAGGAACAAACTAGGGGCATCATCGTGATCCTCTCGTCAATCCGCATCGAATGATATATATGTTGACCTCGAAAGGTCAAGGTCAAAGGTTGACCTCAGGTCACGTGACCTCGAGGTCATCATGTATATCATTCGATGCGTCTTGACGAGCTGAACACAATGAGACCATCCGCGCGGCTGTATCTTGTTCCTGTACGGAGTTATTGGCAAAAAACCGCTGGTGACCTTTGATGACGTCACATGACCTTACAGCTGCCCAACAGCAAAACAGACCTCAAGGTAGTGAAGGTTGATCGTATATGAAGTCATGTATGGTATATGGGGCCATTCCGACCCGTTTTAGTGGTAAAAACAGGGAGTTGATTTTTCCCCCATTGACTTATAATGGGGAGGTCGCGAAATTGACCTGACCTTAGGTCACCGACATCAAAATTCCGAGATATACAAATTGTAGCTACTAATGACCTAATAACATCCTGCGACTTTCAAAGGCCTCCGACATCTACTGTAGCTCTGGCACGGTGACAAAGTTGCAAAAAAGTGACGAGGTTGGGTCATTCAAAGTGACCTGGTGACCTGACCTTCAAAGTTAGGAGGTTCAAACTTGCACACCATGTGTAAAATTGATGAGACAATAATCGTACCAAATTTCGCGGCGCTACGCGCCGCGGTTTTCCCGCTATCCGCGAAAAACCTCAGGGGGGGCGGATATCCGCCCCCCCCCCCCGTCGGTGCGCGGGTTAAGCTACAGCGAGCCTTGGAACGTTTTATGAGGTAATAGCCGTTTTCACGACGGGCTATCTGGCGAGTGCACCTAATTTGACCAAATCTGCACCTAATCTCTTTTACAGCAAATATCTTTATTTTATGAGTTATTTCAGTGTTTAATCGATGAAATAACAAGACATGCAGCTTATAATTCCTGCTCTGATAACAAGACAGAGCAGGCATATAAGCAATTAGTGCAATCCTAGCTGATAGCTACTAAGAGACACACTGAACCTAATTTGACCAAATCTGCACCTAATCTGCACCAGATGTGCAGAAAATGTGTACCAGATGGCCGTCGTGAAAACGGCTAGTGTCACTTTACAGGTCATGACCTGGTGAGCTCACCTTGAATGACCGGGGTCTGAAATTTTCATGACATGTGGGAAAAAGATGTATAAACAGGTTTACCAAAAAAGGTGGTGCTATGCGCCGCCGTATTTGAGATATTCGCGAGAAAAAAACACAACGGGGGCGGGGGTGTTCAAGCACCCCCTCCCCAGCAGGGCGCGGGTTAAAGTGAAGATTGGCTATCTGAAGCTGAAGATAACATACAGCAACGGCACAATGCGAAGTGCCTCTTGTCAACAATCATGCTGTTAGAGAAACCGTCCCGAGAATCTTATCAGTTGTTACGAGCTCGCTGCAAAGATTATTAGGCAAGTCAGCATGAACACTTCAAGAGCTTGTCAGGTGGATATGAGCTGAACCTTGCCTCGGTGAGATTTTCCACGACGGCCTCCACCATGGGCGCCACCATGGCTGTGGTGGCCGTGTTGGACATCCACATGGAGAAGAACATGGTGATGCCCATGAAGCCCATCATCAGCCTGTCAGGGAGCAGAACACCCATCAGCTGCTCTGAACATAAGCATGTGCTGGAGTTATGATTCAAGATGGCACCAAATTAGGTAGTTTGGTGTCAAAGCAGCAGTCAATTTCTCTCACTCTCACCACTTGACACTCGACCTGACTGTGAGTCCCGCTCGCCCTCACCATTTGACGCTCGACCCGACGGTGAGCACTACACGGAGCGCGGCGCGCGTGTGGAAGTTGCTCTTCTCCACAGCCACGGCCACCATCAGGCCGGCCATGGAGAGCAGGTTGGTGCTGGTCATGTACTGCTGGCTGGCCGTGCTCGTGTCGAGCACGCCGAACAGCGGGAACAGCACCGTCGGCAGCAGCGCCGTGGCCGCCACCGGCAGCGCCTCCGTCATCCAGTAGCTGGCGATGATGAGGACGCCGTAGCCGCACCAGGCCTCCTGACAGGCGGAGCGAGGGGCGAGGGGGAGGGAGGAACGGCTCAAACGCCGATTTGGGGTAAAAGTCGTCATATTTACAGGGCTGGCTGGCGGCCGTTTCACGTCCATGAGAGTTTGTTAATAACTTGGACTTTTCCGACCGGTTGCAGTAAGTTTAAGTCTATATTAATCAATTTTCCGCTACGAATTGCAACTGTTGGTGTGCAATTTACATTCAATTCAAAATAGCGTAACACCTCCTTATTTTTAGTAACCCTTCTGATAACATCAGTCTTGTTCTGATGACCCTTCTAGTTCGCCTTTGTATAATACCATTCTAATGGTTCGCCAGACTGACCATTGTATTTATTCTGAAGATCTGTCGGACTGACCTTCGTATTGGAGATGAGCGGCAGGGGACAGAGCAGCAGTGGCACCAGCACCACGACCCAGGAGCGCCAGAACGGCAGGATGTCGTCCCGCAGAGTGAGCCGGCAGCAGGCCATAGTCGGGATCCTCTGTCAGAGGAGCGGGGGCCCAGAGACTGGAGACGACGGCCGCGGACAGCGCGAGTCCAGCAGCGCGAACTCCAGGCAGGTGCGACCTGGATGAGTGAGAAATATTGGCAGTGTTCACCTGTGTGGTACTAAAGAGCGGAAATATGTGGGGCTTCTTTCATGACTCGAATTGCGTAATTGCATTCTTTCATACTAAGACCTCTATATAAACATATACTTTGAATATGTCTTAAAAACCCCATGTTTTCTGGCATGCACGATTTTTGTGTGTCTTGTACTTTTGCTCGGTGGCAAAAAAAAAAAAAACACGATCAGCTTTGGGAAATCATGCCTGACGACTACCTAACTAGCATCTGTGGCTCCAGCTCACTACCTGCGTGTACCAGGCGCAGTCTAATCAATATCACCTGACGTCACGATCACGTCACGTGACGTCACCAGCCGACGAATGGTCAGGTGCTGGTCAACGTTTATCCGTTCGGCCTGCCATGCTGTCCGGTTGCATCGTACCTTGTCTAACTTGAGAAAGTTTCCACATAGATTCAGTATACCGGCAGCGCAAGCAGGCTTTTGTCTAACCTATTCGTGACCGCAAGTAGACATAGTATGTGTAATTGGTTGCGTACACCTATGACCGTAAGTGTGTTAAGCTGAACCAAAAGGTATGTGGAATAACGTTTAGTTCGGCATATCGAAGGTTCGAATCCCATAGCTGGCATGATCATAACGGGAACAATGTGAGGAGGCAATTTAACGGCAATCCCTGGGCCATGGCATACACTCAGCTCTCAAGCTCGAAAAATGCAACAAATTTGCTACAAAATAAAAATCAACATGTATTGACGAGGACAAAATAAATACGACATGGGCTGAGGCGTTCGCAGTCATCGACAGCCATCAGGCACAGCACAGGACATAAGTCGAAGGCCGACACGGCGCGTCTGTCCCTCTCCCATTTAGAGAGGGAGAGCAGCCCGGTCGGCGGCAGGCGGCGCCGGCGGCCGTCTAGTTGTACGGCTGCTGCTTGCCGGCCGGACGGTATGCCGGCTGGCTGGCCGACGCCGCCGGGTAGCGCGCCTCACCCTCGTACGTCACCTCGGCCACGTAGCCGCCGTCGCCGCTGACGCTGTAGGTGACGCGCTGCACGCGGCCGTCCGGCAGCGCCACGTAGTAGCTGCCCTGCGTGTTGGCTCCATCGCGCGACTCGCTCTGTCCAAAGTCGACGGCGTAGTTGGAGTCCTGCACCTTGTAGTCGTAGGCGTACTTGGCCGGAGCATCTGAGTACTGCTGCTGGGCGTACTTCTGGGGAGCCGCCAGGGCGACCGCCACCAGAGCAGAGATGAGCAGGACCTGCAGGAAATGAAGACGGGGGCGGTCAGGTCCAATTAAAAAAGTTTTGCCCTAAAACTGTTTTTTAGAAGTAACTGTGAAAAAACATGCCCGCCAGTTGAACTTCTTTGAATGCCACCTTATCGGCTTCAGAGTTTCCGATACATGAAATACACAGGCATACTAGACTTACATATTATTTATTTCAAAACACATCTTGCGGTATGGTTATTGGTTAGTTACTTATTCAATACATTTATTGGCCTGTAATTGCGCAATGTGCGCATAGCCTATATTACAACTTATGAGTCAATCATTAGGAACTTTATCAATGAAACACCTCACGCAAATAAACATCAGTTCCATTTGAATGATGCAAAGCACTGAACAACAAACATCAAACGATTTTCCATCATACCTATCATTCTATATCATACAACTTTCAAGCGCTCACCTTCATGTTTCTGGTTAGGGTGATTTGTTGCGACGTAAGCAGCTGTTGCCACTGTGAGAGACTGGTGTCGGTAGCAACACCCACACGACATTTATACGTCCGACAGATCCCACGGTGGACTGGGTTTACAGACACGGGTGACCCAATCCGCCCACCTCGGGCCTGCGGTAGCGGAGCCGACCTTGACATTGGTCTCACAGGGAACTGGACACGCCAACTGGTCGGATATGCAGCCGCCACACCCGGCCCGAGAGCAGTCAGTCATGCTCTTGGTGTTTGCTTTGGTAGCTACAGTCGTCCCAAGGAAGTACTTCGCTTTTGACACTGGATTTTCACTGGACACAACAGTTTTCAATCGCACCACAAAGCTTTCGTAAGACCTGTACTTATCTGAAACTCATAAAGCTCTGGGTATTTGTCAGTTTTTCACATCGATTAATGTTTTTTTTTTTACTTTCTCATTACGCAACTCTACTTTGGTACATAGCTTGACTCAGCAATTACCCATTCCGACCGAGCCTGACCTCAGAACCTATAGGGGAGGTTGGGGTAATTTGGCCGGTGGTCTAAATTAGCAGCCCCCACCTGTACAAAATCTGATAAAAGTGAATGAAATAACTCTAGTCTCTATTCATTTGTTATGGTTAGAACTATAGTTCGTTTTTCTTAAGTTTGCCCCTCACTGTAAACGTCTCTTTGAACACAGCACGAGAATTGCTAGCTGAATTACTGAGAAAACTGGTTAGCGCACATTGTATTGTAGATATGAATAATATTTTCAAAAATAAGTTTTGAACACCGACGATCTAACGTTAATTTTAAGCGCCATGCAATTTATTTATTAGTTCAGACTTAATTCCTGAGAAGTCGTCTATCCCTTTGGGGCTGTAGGTATTGGCAAATACGATTTACGAGTCTGTCAAATAGTAAATAAATTTGATGAAACTGGTCGTCTGTGAAATCTTGTCAAATCAGTGTGCGCCAACCAGTTTTCTCAGTAATTCAGCTAGCAATTCTCGTGCTATGTTCAAAAAGACGTTTACAGTGAGGGGCAAACTTAAAAAAAACGAACTATAACTCGAGGACAAATGTCAAAACTTCCATCCTCATAATTTTCTTCAAAATAACTAAAACGTGAATTTCATTAGAAAATGGCAACTTTTACTTCCGCTTAAAAAGTTGTAGGTATAACATGTAGTATTTCGGCTGTAAAAGAATTCTGACATTATACCGCCATTCTGGGGGATGTTCAGCGGTTCCAAGAGCAATTTCATTTATATAGTTCCGTACAGCCATGACGACTTTATAGACAAAAATTTTCAGAATAGCAATATGGGGTTATTTGGCCGGGACTAGCGGGGCAACTTGGCCGGTGCGCTCAGGGTCGCTTTGCTGGGACTGCCGAGTTGTCATGGTCATTTATATCTTATGACATAATTTACGACCAACTTTGACAGCCTTATTTCCTATTGGACAGCTGTAAGGGCATGTGACGTCATCAAAGATAACCAAACGTTTTTTTTTTGCTAATAAATCCTAACAGAAAAAAGATACAGCCGCGCAAATAGTTTTATTGTGTTCAGCTCGTCAAGGCGCATCAAATGATATACATGATGACCTTGAAATCACGTGATCTTGAGGTCAAGCGACTTGAGGTAGCGTGACCTGAGGTCAACCTTTGACCTTGACCTCTCGAGGTCATCACATATATGTTTCGATGCGGACTGACGAGAGAATTACGATGCTACTTTTAGTTTTGACCTAGCTTGATTACTTCAAAAGTTATTCGTAAAAAACTGTGATCGCATCTAGAGCCGCTATTTTGACTATTTTCGACCCCTGTGGCCGCTGAGTTAACCTCCGAAATGCGTCAAATGCGTCGCAGGACACACGTTATTGCTGAATGTGAAGCTGACTCGCCTATAACAAAAAACCCCGGCCACAAACTAACACCGGCTAAATTGCCCCACACCCCCGGCCAAATAACCCTGCTAGTGGGGCAATTTGGCCGCCTTGCAGACCTTTGCAATACGTCACAATTACAATATAAGTAATTATTCTATCATTTCAAGTTCACTGTCCAGTAAACTAAAATGAATGCGACGCCTGCCAGCGTTGAGAAAATGCAGAAATGTGTCGTCAGTTTTAAGTTACATCGTTTTCTAAAAAAAAACGGCCAAATTACCCCAACCTCCCCTACACAAAACTATAAAATTTTGACGTGAATATTATAGGGCAAATCTGATTTAATACATTACTTTGCTGAGGAATGGAGGATGCTGGCCGTCATGATGCGCACAATTTCAAGGTCTTAAGTTCATGGGTGATTTCTGAGGTTGGTCAACGACACAGAAGTCTCGTTTTGAATTTCGAGACATAAGTTGGTCAAAAATGACTCAAGAGTAACAATTTTTGTACCGTCCATTACGTTTATGTTACTAAGTCTAGCTCACCCAGGTGAGACGAATTAGACTGTCTGGTTTTCTGGGGAGCGGGGGTGGAGTGAAGATTCATATGGATGTCGACTTAGGGTGTATTTCAGGTCAAGGCCAATCAGGTCTGAAGTAGCTCATCTAAGGTCGTTGTGTTCCGGGCTGCTGAGTCGACGGCTGTGGTGACTCCGACTCGGACTCCGACTACGGCTTAAAAAAAGTCAATCTCCGACTCCGAGCAGAACTGCTGCCTCCAGCCGACTCCGACTCCGACTCCGCGGCCCTGACATGTCTAATGATGAGTTTTCGGTGACTCTGACTCTGACTCCAGCTTGGGGTTCCAAAAATGAACTCTAACTTTGACTCCGAATCCCCATGGCCCTGGTTGTGTTGCATACCATTATATTCTGTCAGGGCTGGGGATTCGGAGTCGGAGACGACAGGAATCCGCAGTTCTAGCCGGAGACGGAGTCAGAGTTGGAGACGCCAAAATCATCCCGACTCCAGCCCGGTAGTGGCAGTTAACACATTTGTTAGATTAGTAAACCAAGAGAACTAAGCTTTTAAGGCATTAGGTGCGCGCTGAGGAGAGCGTGTGTTTGGTTATTTTTTTTCTAAATTCCTGATATTGTTGTGTGGCATCCGCATAGGCTCTATGATTTTCATCTTAAAATATAGGTATACAGAGGAATTTTTGTGACTTCCTCCCATAGAGTTGTCACATTTCTCAGCGCTCGAAGTTGATTTTGTGGTATGCAGTTGCTATATAAGATCAGGATGTGGAACAAGTGTCCAAGTGGGCCAAGGCGGCCACTGACCTATCAATGCCGTGACTTTATGGGTGCCTACCGGTCACCGGTCACCTCGAAGGACAGCCCTCAAACCACACTAACCACCGAGACACGGCAGGTGATCCTACGAGTAGACGACAGCTACACAGTATTACTGTATGCCTGGCCTATTCAAATACATTAGCCTGAGGGGTGTGGTAATAACTGGTGTAAGCAAAGTGACCACGGTCAAAAATGCATTACCAAGTCAACATTTTGGGATGACCTCGTTCAAAAAACCGCTAAGAGCTTCGGTCTAGACAACTGTTTTATCGTTGGCATACAGTAAAATACATACCAAACTCGGCCGGTGATAAATTGTCAAGACCTCAGTCCTTACTGATTTTAAAAATTCAGTTAGGACCTCGGTCTTGAAAATTTATTTACACCGGCCTCGTTCAGTATTATATAATACCGCGTGGAACCCTTTGTCAGCGATAGAATGAGATAGTTTGATTAAAACCTTCATAGATGCATCCTGTGATAACAATAAAGAGCAACAAAATAAAAAAAAATAAAAAAAAATACTGTGTATCTGTGTACTTTGTATCTGTGAATATTTTTATTCCTTACATAAATGTGTTACATTATGTTATTGTTATCACTTATCGCACTATGCGATGCTGAATAAATTGATGATGATGATGATGATGATGATGATGATGATGATGATGATGATAAACGCCAATCATGTCTCAAGTTAAGCATGTATGTACGGAAACGAGACGTAGCATTCAGGATTATATCCAGTAAAAGTTGTCGTAGGCTGTCATTTTTCATTGTTTGATAAATTATCCAAAAGTGTTATGTTAATCTTTAGCCGACGTCGCATGTTTACATTTCATTCTATTACATTCACGTCCAAACTCTCGGGGCGTGTCAAATGGCCGGCATTCTGAACCCAATAAACCATCGAACCAGCTGTATGCCACTTCAACCCCAGCCGGCAGGCTGCCACAAATATTTCGCGCATTGCGCTGCTGGCGGCCCATAACTCGAGTGGCCGCGGTGAACCGCAACGAGCGTGGGAGAGTCCCACTGACCAGCCGTCCCGGCGGCAACGCCCGAGCGCCTGCAGTGGTCCCTGGCACCGACAGAACCTCCCCCCCCCCCAACCTCCCTCTCCACCAACACCCCCTTCAGACGCACGCGTCCCCCCAGGGAGCGGCGCGTGCGAGCTTCGTGGCCATGCGCAATCGAAGCACGGGGTGGATTGGTCACCCCGACGACGCCTCAGTATACACTGTAAACCAAATTGACAAGTCTTGTGTAATATAACCAATCATCTCTTGGTATGTTTACCAACTGATACTTTTGAAACAAGCCGTTGTCTGGTCAGGGGCGGATCCAGGAATTTTCGGGAGGGGGGGCGGCAAGTCGAAATAGGGGCGACCTGGCAATCCGGGGGCGCTCCATACAAAGGGGGCGCCAAACCGTCAAAATCGGGAGCTAAAAGCCCGCGCCGTGCTAGGGGGCGTTATCGCGCTCCCCCTCAGGTTTTTCGCATATATCTGAAAAACGGCTGCGCGCAGCGCTGCCATTTTCAGCATACCTTATCATGCGTCTTTTTTGCACATGTTGTAAAAATGTCTGACGCGGGTGATGGAAGGTCAGGTCACCAGTTTATGCCAAGTGACCTAGCCTAAGAAAAAGTTCAAATGCTTACCATTGCTATACCGACTGAACGATTGCTTTGAACCTTTCAGCGATTGATGAAAGCAACACTATTCATGAAATGTATATCTCGGAATTTCGATATCTGTGACCTAAAGTCAGGTCAGTTGTGCGACGTCTCCATTAGGTAGGTAGGTATAATTAAGTCTTTGGGAGAAAACTGAAAGGCATCTCTTTTGGACGAGCGCCATTCTAGACAATATTAAGCATTGGGATACGTATAAAATTAACACACTGAATAAGAACATTGCACCTAGTGTGACGACTCATTAATGTCATGAAAGGTCCGCAGCAGTTTTTTTTAATAACTTTTGATAGATTCAAGCTAGAGCGATAAAAACACCTCAGCTGTGTTCAGCTCGACGATACGCATCGACTGCTATGCAGCATGACCTTTCCCGGTCAGGTCATGACCTTAACCTGAGGTCAACTTCTCAAAATTACCTTTCATAAGGTCAACCTTTAGTTTGTTCGACGTGTCTCGACGACAGAAACGCAATGCTGACAAACGTAATGTCGAGACTCTCTTGAGTCAAAAGTTATTGCAGGAAAACATTGTTCGTAAAAAGGCTATTTTTAGAGTATTTTGCCCTCTGAAGGCTAAACCGTTAACCTGAGGTCAAATCTGAGCGCAGCTTGCAGAAACACCTTTAAAAGGGCTATCGAATGCGCTTTTCTGCGGCGCTATAGCTCTATTGGTTTCCGAGTTATGTGCCGCTGCTTCGAAAACGGAAAAATGTTGAAACAGGCAACATTTTACCTTTGATGACCTCTGGTGACCTGACATTCGACCTGACCTAAAAAATGACCATTTTGTTTTCGTCCTGTTTTTTGACGATCTTTCGAATGCCGCTTATCGCGTGTCACTACGCGGCCCAGGAGCCGAGTTAGACGAGGGAGTTTGCCCCCCCCCCTTCCCCAGCAGGACACGGAAAACTCAGACCACCAGCACGGCACGGGTTAAAAGTCGTAGATGGGCACCGCTACCCTAGCAAAAGATACTAGCAAAAAGGTGGTCTC